TATTATTTTGACCACACCAACTTTTCTGGAGATGTTCTTTCAAATTCTCGTTTTGCTTTTGTGTTCATGGAAAAATGTGCTGTGTATTTCTCTCATATGGCGTCCCAGCCAGCATGGGCTTCATGGTTACAAAGTGGGCATAAGAAGAAAAGAAATAAAAGACCAGAATAAACACCACCTTTTTAATCTCACTTTTAACCCACACAGGTATTGCATACAAACAATGGCTGGAATATGTCGGTGTGCATCTCTCCTTTGGGGATACTTTTACAGGCGCAGGACAAACTGAATTTTATAACAAACTTTAAAAAAAGAAAAATTCGCAGAGGAAAATAATCCCAGAGGGCCGTGGTCATGGTCATGTTCAGGCTTCCAAGTATCATTTCCTGTGTGATCCTTGGTCTGGTCTCTCTTCTCCGGGTAATCTGTTCCTGAGGACTTGACGATGAACTGATGTAAAACCTTAACAAGGAACTGACGAAACCTTAACCCTGATGAGCACATATTTGTACCACTCCAGGTGCCTCTAAGAACTATTGATTTCATTCAGACGTGGTGCAGAACCAGCAACCCACAAGTAGTGACACTGTAGTTTTTTTCTACTGAAGACTACACCCTGACCGAGCTTCGACAGTAGATGGATTTTCCTGAGGTGAATTCAGTTTTGATCGTGTTTGAGAAAAAGAAAAATTATGAACAGTTTTTGAACTCTTTTTGATATCACCTTGGTTTCTATTATTTATTTATTTATTTATTTATTTATTGTGTAATTAGTTAGTTAGGTTAGTTAGTTTGTTTGGTTGTTTGTGATTAGGATCCAAATCTGAATTCACCTCAGTTTTAAATGACAAAACCACCTACAATAAATATAGAAAAAAAGAGAAAGAAAATACAAGAACAAAGTTGATAAGAGGTAATTTCCAGTCTTTACTGATTATATGTAAATGTCATAGGTGTGTCAATGATTTGTCGTCATTTTTATCCATACAATATCATGTATAAAACATATTGTTGGGGGGGTGCAATGAATATGGGGTAAAGATTAATGAATACATTAAGTTATTATTATTATTATTATTATTATTATTATCGTAATTGAATTGAAGATATTGGTAAAATGGTCAATTTTTCATTTTTCAACAATTTTCACATTTAAAACTTGAAAAAAAAAGATATGGAGTTTTGTTTTGTTGTTACAAAAACGGATCCAATGATACTTGTCAAGTACTTCTGATGGGATTCATATTGTATGTGATTACCTGCAGATTTTTTTTGCTTTCTGTTAGAATTAATTTCTCTGTATTTTTTGGGGTATGGAGTGTGATGATTGTTGTTCTGTCACTTCAATAGTTTTTGACATGATATCTCTATTTCAAGTTTCATTCAAAAAGTGAGCGAGTCTCTTTATAAATGATGCTTGATCACACCGACATAGTGGACACGGTCTGACAGAGACTCATCGCTCTCCATGGATTACTATGTCTGTTTAATTCCTATTTGTGAATAGTATTCCAACACACCATGATGACAATTTCTGTTATTTAAACACATTTTGAAATGGTTAAATAAAAATATTTTACATTCAAAAATGTTTGCGGCGGATAAATGTCCATGTAGTTACACAAAGACGGGGATTTACAACAACAAAAAAACAATCAAATCTGGTATTCAAGCATTGATTCCATCATGGTTTCTTTCTGGATGAAGATTAGAAGGCCATGATAGAGAATCATAACCATCTGTGTGCAACAGAGCCACTGTGCACAGATGCTCACTAGATGGTGGTAAAAACCTGCCACCACCTGTGACTTCAATTCACACCTTGTCCTGAGTAAGTACCTGTGATTAATCAGTGGGTGCATTCTCTTTGTGGTCTGATTTTAGCTGCAACCACACCTGGACCAGTGCTTTACTGAGCTCTGTGGAGAAAGGATTTAGAGTAAGGACTACACCACAGGCTAGGCACCTGGGCTACACACTCTCACTGCTGCTGTCTATGTTTGCTGCAGCCCAGATGGTAGAGTTGACAGTCCTCCAACTGAGAGATTGAGGGCTTACACCCAGATTTGGATTCTGGATTCTGGATTCTAGATGCCAAGTACACAGTACAAAAAGAGGCAAAAATAAAACAAACCTCTAAGGATCTAAGGATCAATGATTGTCAAACTATGGTATGTGTACCACTGACCATACTTGGGCACACTCTAGTGCACCGCAATTGGGTTGGTGACTTATCTGTTTAAGACAATACTCAGCACTCTAAACTAAGTCTGCCCTCTACTGGTCTGGTGATACAAGACAAGCAAAAAAACAAAACAAACAGGAAAACAAGGGCGTATTAATCAGTGGATAAACCTGTTAGTATAAAGCAGGAACAAAAATATATGACTTTTCTATATTAATCTTTGATTCGGCATCTTGGTTTGCTTGAATTTTGATCCATGTGAACTTCATCTACAACCGCTCCACAATAGCAGGTGTCCTGGGCTGTGACGTCTTAGAACAAAGATTTATCACCACAGTCCTTGTATCACCCTCCCCACAGGCTGAGGTCTCGTATTTCCATTCAAGGGCACACATTCAAAATAGCCGTAACTAAGAGTCTATTGTCATATAGGCAAGTGATTACCCTACACTGTGTACGACAACTACTAAAGATCGGAAAATGTTGTATTTGAATTGACAGCAAAGCAGTAAAATGTTGTTGTCCTTGAAGGAGTTTAACTGACAAGCTCATGTGTTTATTGTGAAATGGATACGAGTGACCTGACAGGCATCCTCTGTGGGCCATCTCTCCTGCAGTAGTTGGCAAAAGGTCCAGTGAGCTCCATTTAGTCATGGACTGCTGTTGACATCTTAGGGAAAATAAAAATAAAAAAATCTATGAAGTTCAACTCCATGTGCACCAAAAAACCATGTGTTATCATTATAAGATGTCTTCCACACTACATCACTACGACTTCTACTGCCGCATTGGTTATTTTAGAAACACATTCTCATTAGGGATCCTCATTAGACATGTTTGTTTTTGCTGTTCAAAACTAATAGCTGAATAAATGTTATCATCTGTTTTAAAACAGCAGCTGTGCTCCAGTTTTGGGGGATGCCTCCTTTTGAGGCTGGATGTGAAGACGGATAACACAACACTGTTGAAAATAGGCCACTCTTCTTTGAAGGCTTTTGAAATGTGGCTGGAAAATTGCATCTCATGAGTCTGATATCCAGGACATAAAATAAACTTTTTTTGGTTATGAATAAAAAACGATGTCAAATTTCACATAGTTGGGAGGAAGAAGCGACTGCCCCATTTTACAGGGGTTGCCATTAGAGACACATTTGGCACAATGTTTAATGCTGGATGCCATTCCTAAAACAACACTCTCCCTGGATACAAGTTTGGGATGAGCGGTGAGTGGGACATATGCTCTGGCCCAATGTGGGTGGGTATGTTGAGCAAAGGAGGGTTCAGGTTCTCCACTGAGAATACATGGGTATATAACTAGATAAAAACCGATTGGTAGAATACCTACAACGCCTATCTGTTTTTACAAATGAATAAAGGTAAAAAATGACATTGTACGGTTCCACCCGGCCAACACAGGGAGGCAGTATTTCAACAAAAGGTCCACACACTGTAATAACCCAAAATAGTAACCTCTGTTAGCAATGGCTGCCTAGATGAGGCTACTTCAAAAGCAAGCCTTTCCCCTGTTCATTGTTCTATATCTGCCCAGTAAGGGCATCGGGTTCAGATAGTGTCTGAGTGCATAAGTGATGTGCTGTGATATTGTGCTTGCAATGTGTGTAAGCCTTGTTATTATCTGTGAGGTTAGGTGAGGGGAGACACATTATCTAAGCTGGCGTGTTGGTTATGTGGCTGACTTTGGGATGACAGGACACAGATTGAATGTTGTAGAAGCAGGTGACGTACGACTGTGGAGACCTAGTACACAATGCTTTTATCCAATAAACAGAAAACCACAGTGGATCAGGTCAATAAAATATATGAGTCTTTGTCCAGATATAGCAGTCGGTTCAGGTAGTGAAAAGACAGACATGTCTCAGTGCAAATTAAATAAAAATGTATAAGGGCGTCTTGACAAAGATATTGACATAAAAAATGATTAGATGTTAATATCTAAGCTTCAATATAGTTGGCCAATGCAACTATTTTTTGTCTTCTTTTGTCTACACTTTGTCTAAAAAATTAGACAACAAGATATGTCTGTAAATATACCCTAACACGTCAAATACATTAAGACAAATAAACCCAAATTGATTGCTTGAATGAATTTTAAACAAATTCATTTTGGTATATGTATCACAGTCTTCTGGATGTCATGTATCAAATCAAATCCTTTAGAACCTTTAAGAAAGAGTACCTACTACTGGAACTTTTGCTCCAGCATATGTTATGTCTATTACGATAAAGCTGCCTTATTTGGCATTACTGCATTCAAAACGGTCATGTGATCCGGTGCTATCACAGCGATCTTTTTAGATCTTACTTCATTGATGGGACTTTCTCATTTCGGTGGGAAACATCAGTGACATATGTGCACGTTGGTTGGCCAAATGGCTCATTGCTGGATCAGCTGCTGCTCCGTTTATGCATGCAAACAGATAAAAAGCTCCACCGGGTGAGAAGTTCACAAGAGCAAGCTCTTGGGAAGAGTTGTTCATGAAACTGTTTGCAAACTGGTATGAAATTGTCACATGTGCCAGAACATCACGTAGTCATAGTCACATGTCCAAAAAGCTTTTTAAGCTACATTTTCAAGCATTTTATTCAGCATTTTATGAACATTTCTGTTCCTATTTAATTGCCTACATTGGTTTAAATAGACATAATATAATTATTTTTAGTATGAAGTCATACCTAAGAAAAGCCTGAGCTGTCCACTATTGTTGGGTGGCTCCTGTTGTTAGCCATTTATAGATCTCTCTTGCTCTCTCTCTCCTTCTCTCCCTTCCTCTGTCTGTCTCTTTCTCTCTATCTCTCTCTCCCATTGGATTTTGCAAGATGAGTCAAGGCCTTTTTTAAGTGCCACACTTGCCTCGTGAGCCCGGGGCATTTATTATCTGCCTGTATTTGTATTGTGCCTGTGTGCAGCAGCTCTTTCAGTTAGAGGCCAACGCTGACCTGCAGCCATGGATGACGTATATAAAGCAGCGGTGAGTAAAAGTTGTGCCCGGCATAATATGGTAGCATAATGTAATGTTACAGATGTCATGTCTCTGGTTATTTCAGTTTTTAAAATGTATGTCTTTAAAAAAAATGGAATGCAGTGGTGGAAAGCATGCTTCTGGAGTTAGCTAATAAACTAATAAACTAACAAACTAATACATTATTTTGAATTGTTTTTTTCTGAATAAACTTTTATTAAACCATTTTTATTTATAATATTACTATATAATATACAGTTACAATAAAACAAGTGGCCATAACCTGTTTTAAATGCACTCTTTTTTCATAGTTCTAGGTAAGGACACTGAGGTCATAACCTTGACAGTTGATTTTAAGTGACGTTTTTGTGGTGGGGACAGGTTAAGGTGTTTCATGATAGATATACATTTTGAAAAAGCGTGTCATCTATTTATTTAATTTTATATTCAGTCAGTTATTTATTTTAAGTATTAATTTTTTTTTAAATGACCTGATATCCGTGATGCAAAAAAAAGAAAAATTACAACACCATATAGTCCAGATGAAACGGTATTGAATGGATCTTGACTAACTTTGAACGTTCTGATACCAGTTTTCCTGAGAATCGTTACTGTTACAATTTGCTCATTTGAAATGAAATGATAGTATTTGAATAAAATCAGCAACTTTTTATCTGTTGTACTAATGAAACAATAGGTGTGATAGGTCAGTGAACACAGTGACGGACCTCTGTGTGGTCAGCTCACATTTTTGTGCCTGACAATAGAACAAGTAACAGCTGGACAGTTCAGGGGTAAAAGAGCAGTGACAGCTGCTGGCTATTAAAACAAATGGCTGACACCAGATACCCTCCCCACTCCGGGTCAATAGTACTTTTAGAGTCATACCGACTGCACTGAGAACTACACTGAGTTGATGTGGTCGGTATAATAAAAAGTAAGCCACTGTAAAAAACAATATAACACTGACCAAACTGATTTTTATGTAATTTCAGGTTGAAAACTTGACAGAAGAACAGAAAAATGGTAAGGAAAATATATATCAGAGAAATTATTTTTAAATCATTTTCATTGTTTTTCACCTGCTTGGAGCACATTAGAACACAACAAAATGCATTGTTTAGTCTACATTTTGTTGGGCATTAAATACAGATATTTCATGACATTCAAATGTGTTTTCAACATGTACTGATGCTACTGCAGTAACATACAGTTACTGATGATGGATGACAGACTGCTGATGACAGATTCAGAGAAATTGACCAGATGCCATGGAGCATGTCCAAATAAGAGGAAATGATCTGTAGGATAACATTAAAAAAAAAAAAAGTCCAAGCCACAGTCATTTATGTTGGTTTAAAATGTTTTTTATAGTTATTTTGAACCACATGGTCTCTCAGTGATCGGTGAGACTACAAATACCCTGCCCTTATGTCCTATTAAAAGACGTGTTGGGGAATCCAAAGGCAATTTTATTCAACATAGGTTCATAAGTTCAAAACACTGGTAAATGTAAATGTAAATGATGAAAGTTCAAAACACTGGTAAATGTAAATGATGTCTTTTATCTTACAGGAGACTAACAGGTGTTGTTTCTCTTCTAGAATTCAAGGCGGCGTTTGACATCTTCATCCAGGATGCTGAGGATGGTTGTATCAGCACCAAAGAGCTGGGGAAGGTAATGAGGATGCTGGGCCAAAACCCCACCCCTGAAGAGTTACAGGAGATGATCGATGAGGTGGATGAAGATGGTATGTCATGTGTAGGTGCTCGAGCACCTGAAGATTCATTCCTAGGAATTTGACAATGTTCCTAAAATGGTGTGCATTTACAGGCAGCGGTACGGTAGACTTTGATGAGTTCCTGGTTATGATGGTCCGCTGCATGAAGGAGGAGAGCAAAGGAAAATCAGAAGAGGAGTTGGCTGAGCTGTTCCGCATGTTTGACAAGTAGGTTTATTTAAATACTCCAGTTGAGATCATACAGATTAACCACTAAGATAAATAAAAGCAAGATTTCTTCGTATTTCAGGAATTGCGATGGTTACATAGACTTAGATGAGCTGAAGCTGATGTTGGCTTCCACTGGAGAATCTATCACAGAAGATGATATAGAGGAGCTGATGAAGGATGGAGACAAAAACAACGACGGCAGAATTGATTATGATGGTACAGTATGATGTCCTAAAAAATAAGTCCAGTAAAATAAGAAACATTATTCTGGTTCTCTGTAATGTCATCGCTCTTTCTTGTTTTGTTTTTTTTTTCTATCTCTGACAGAGTTCCTGGAGTTCATGAAGGGTGTTGAATAAATGACATAACCTGAGGAATTACCATACGCCGTCTGTTTACTGATTGTCTGGGATGTGTCTGACGACATGGCTATCGCTTGTTTTAATTGAAACAAACTGTATGGGTGCAAACAACGTCCACAAAGGTTGAAATAATATAAATATGCACAAGATTAAAAGCTATTTTCAATTAAAAGATAACCATGGTTGTTTGTGAATTGCATGGATTTCATTGTTCTTTATACACAAATGAAGTCACTAAAAATTAAAATTAAAATATAGACATGTTTGTCTCAAATGTCTATATTTATCCAAACCAACCATAATTATTTATCACAGAGCTCAGTTAATGCATGCAGCTTGGTTCTACCTTCAGCACCACAGCTCCCCCAAGCAGCAATAGCGGTGATAACAATATACTAATAACAAATGTACAAAATCAGAAATATTTTTGTCTACATATAGATGTCGAATTTAAAAAATTGAATCTTTGGGTAATTACTGAAATTTGTTGTAAAACATGAACAAAGTATTATAACCAGAATTTTACACATTCTCATTTTTATTTTTATCCTTCTATATCTATCTTATATATTTATATGTACATGCATGATATATACTTTTTTGGAAAAACTAAGTATATTTTCAAAGGTTTTATTAATTATTTATGGATTCTATTTGGTATTTGAACACTTGTTGAACACACCCATTTCCTGTCACGAGACTGTTTATTGTGATGCATGCTGGGAAGTTGAGTTCTTGTTTAGCCATCTTTTGCTATTTCGCTAGAACCGTGGAGCAGGAGGAAACTCCCGCCCCCAGAAACCCCAGCTTTTCAATTTCCTTATTCCTCAATTTCTACACTGAACAAGACGCACAATGTAATTTTGTTACGACAGTAGCACGTAGCTCTATTTTCTAGTTCAGTTTTAATTCAGTACCCTTCATGGATTCGTATGTAGCATGACGAAGATTTATGTCGGTTTTAGTCACCGGAATGTAAGGAATGGCAGCGGTGCTAGTTGTCTGCCTTCATCCCTGGTTCACTCTCGGTACAGCTAACTGTCTTATCAAAAAAACCCGTTAGCATCACATATTTGATTAGATTCGCGAAACTTCAGCAATGGAGGAAGTGGATAAAATTTTGATTCACGCCCTCAAACAAATTGGCACGTAAGTAACACCAGCTCTTTTTTGAATATACTGTCTTACGTGCACATTGTTGCTAAACACAATCCCAGACTGGTTGCTAAAGTCTCGTGCTCGGTATCATCCCATTAAACCATTCATGCGACTTATCAACAGCAGTTTTTTCTTATATCCATTGGCTATCTATACAGTATTTATCTTTCGATTTGTTTAACAACCTAGATGAGTTTTACTCTGTTTTAGGTTACAAAATAATTTTGAAATTCTAAATTATGCTGTACAGTTTTTGCTGAATGTCGTTTAATGCGGAACTAAAGCCATTCAAAGGATCTTGAAGGTAAATAATCAAGTTCCCTCATACTTGACAGTCATGGACTATGGGGCTTGGACTCTGGTCTTCAGTTCACTTAACAGAGATATATGGGGCATCATATCGTCTCCATACAGGATAACAAAGTGACAACAAAGACTGTGTTCTGTTGCTAAGGTTTCTCTGCTTTATTTCTTCTAATGTCACATGATTAACAACTACATTCACATGTTATGTGGTTGAGTTTTTCCACCCTAGAAGAGTGCCTTAGGCTGTATGTCACTAATACATAGAAATCTGATGAGAGAAGTTAGCAGCAACCTCCAGTGCAACCATGTAACTGATTGTAGAGTGGTTGTAACCTAGTTTTCAAACTGATCAACATGCATTGTTGATTTTTTTTTTAACTACCAATGCTATCATCACCTATGAACACATGCCTCTAGAAGGTTTAATATTTAACAAGAAACAATGCTGTGGTTAACCTTCTAGGTCAGTAATACCATCTAAATACTACTGTCAGAAGAAAAAAATACCTTTCTTGTTGCCACATTCTTTTACTCTTGTCACAAACAACCAAATGGATAATTTCTTTAGAAATGTGGAGCTAATAGTTGATTTATGAATCACAGGGATGTGAGTGAGGAGATCAGCAGCATCAATCAGTTCTCAAGTGAGCTGATCGTGAAGGCTGTGGTCAGATGTATCCAGGTGATCAATCCAGGCCTGGGCAGTCCACTGCCCAGCTCCCTGCCTCCGGCCATGTCTGCTCGTTTTAGAGTGGGCATGAGTCTTGCACAGGCATGTCAGGTAAATCAGCTGTTTTGTCAAATAAAAATCAATGTCATTTATGGGCATACAAATATATAATGAGCAGCACACCTGTACGGTTCACTGGCGACCAACATGTCATTTTTAATTTTTAGGAGCTTGGTTATAAAGGAGAGATTGGTTACCAGACCTTTTTGTACAGCAGTGAGCTGGAGATCCGCTCCCTGCTCATGTTCCTGGTGGAGAAGCTGCCCAGAGAAAGCTCTGAAGCCTCAGACCAGCCAACAGGTGAATACCAGTCTGTCTTATAATTACTTTCATAATCATTTTACGATGTTTGATAATTGGATTATCCCTTGTGGATGTCAGTACAATCTTGTGCATTTTTCATAAAATTTAACACAAAATGATGAAAAGAGTTATTTTTGTCATGAGACAGCTTTGAGATCATTTGGAACTGTGTCATCCATTGATGTGTCATCCAGAGCTGTGTTTTCCATTTTCAGGTAAATCTGTGGTTCTCCAGAGAGCCATAGCTGCTGCAATCAAAGCCCAGCTGTCTGTTCCCTGGCTGCCTATGAACTGCAGACTACCGTTGCACACTGAAACACAAGTAAATGTTTTACAGATATGTGCTGTTATAATACTCGAGTGTCTCTGGGCAGTGGTGGCAATGGGAAGCAGACTTGGGTCTGGAAGGTTTCAGGGTTGAGTCCATCAACTGCCAAGTTTTCACTGAGGTGTTCTGAGCAAAGAACCCCACACACTGCTCCCTGGGGACATAAGATGCTCCCTGCTCACTTTGGTGATGGGTTAAAAGCAGAGGTCACATTTCATACAAATAATTCACTTTCACCCAAACCACAGGACAGCGACTTTGAGTCCATACTTTGCGTTTTGTTGCCACTACTAAAATAAGAGTAAACAATACACACATTTTTTTAAAGATAATTCCTCTTATACAAATGATCTAAAATATCATTCTCACCAAACCTCTAAACTATTCACTCTCTGTTTACATGGCACATATTTGTTTAATTAGGCTGAATTATTAGTACACTCCAGCTGAAGTAAGATATGTTTATATTTGAGATAGATCCACACTCTACCTGTTATTGCAACTCCACAGGTCAAACATTTAACCACGTTTAGCAACATTGAGTTTAATTAATAAGTTATCATATTTTGGTCATTATCATTTAATGCTGTCAAATTATGGCACATTTTGTTTCTTACAAGCTCACTCATTTCTCTGTTAAGAGTGCCGGACCTTTGCACAGCTTCCACACTCTGCCGCTTAGTTTACCCTACTCCTCTACAGGCTTGGGTGACAAATATGAAAAAGGTAGGTTTCACCTTACACACAGTTATCATTTGTTCTTTTTTAGTTGAACATTGGGGGATTAAAGGTGATTTAAGAAATTAAATTTAAGGTTCCTCAGAGTTGTTGGCAACATGAATCTAAATAGTTTTGTTTGTATCACAAAAGTGCTGAGAGTCATTAAAATGTCAACACGTTGTCTTAATTACAGAGGAGAAAGAATATCAACGAGATTTTCTGCTTCCTGTCACTGCCCAAATCTCACATCAACCTTCTATGGTGGCTTCCATACTGGAGCATCACACCACTGTGCTGAGTGCTGTTCAGCAGTGGGACAATGAATGGAACAGTCAGGGACTCCTGTCTCGCCTCACACCACAGGCAAGTCATCATGTTAACTGCTGTGTATTAATATATATATGTATTTTATGTCAATTCAAATTATTCATTGTGATTAATGACATGATGATCTATGATAAGTAGCACAAAATGCCATAATGTGTTAAATGAAAGTAGTGTACTGTGCCCATGTATTTCAGTAACATTTCATCTACAGATACTTGCTTTTGACAGCAGTATTTCCTGCACATCTCAACTTAAAAATGAATGTACTCAGATCAATATAAGATATATTAAAAAATCTAATTTCCCACTGTCAGAGCATTAACATTGTATTTAGTTTACCAACTAACATTTTATCAGGGAGCAAAATAAACAGTCTATGTCCAGTAGCAAGTCCCTGTTTGTAACTCACACACCTCCCCATCAGCTCCGAGCAGACACAGGCGCTGACACACATACACACAGTGAATCGTTTACTTAGAGACGCTGTACTAAGAGCTTTTATCCTCACATCCGAACCTTTACTAGTATCAGTGAGCTTAAAACTGTGTTATAGAAATTATCTTTTCAAACTAAAAACCCTGCATTACTATGTCCTTATGTTTTTATTATATTTTAAAACAAAACAGCTTGGCCAACTGTTCAATGGCCAAATATCTTTAATTTTTATTTAATGCCAGATTATATTTAACAGATATTCTGTACATAATCTATGTAATGAATATATGTAAATTCTGTTGTATTTCTTTAAGAGGCAGTTCATTTTTCCCCTTTGACAGGAGTATCGTGCTAGAAAAATGGCCAGACTTCGGAAACGCATCAAGGAGCAGCTGCGCTCTAATGCACATCCTTCTCCTGAAGGTAGCTTCAGGAGTTCACACTCGTCCAATGACCTGAGTGAAGTACTGCAGATGTTTAAAAGCCCCTCCTCTTCTGACCACATCCTGACCAAGGGCACGCACTTTACTCACACCCAGAAGTTCACATTTGAACAGGTCAGAACGTCTCCCCTCAGCAGAATGTGGTAAAACGTGTCGACATGCTCTGACTGTTATGTGAATAAATCTGTCCTCCAGGAACCTGCAGCAGTGACCAGCCCCGTTCCTACTGGCCGTCAGTCAGATGGTGATGTTCAGCAGCGCCAGCAGGCAGAGATAGAGTCACTGCAGCAGCAGCTTCAGCAGCTCTGCACTGAGATTGAACAGCTCACAACAGACATGAAGCACATGAGTGTCACTCATACACAGGTAAAAACAACATACTGGACTCAACATAATGTTGTAGAACTGATGTGATTACGATCTGATCCCTGGAACTGTTTTTCTACTAGTTACCTTTGTAGTTCTGCATCTCGTTATTAATTGGTGCATTATTTAAATCTGGCTTGGAGATATTTGTGGTTTATTTTAAGCTAACACAGTTCTGTGTTTTTGGTAATACTGTCTGCAACTTTTTCTCCTCCTAAATGATGTTGTTTCACCAATATATTTGGTTTACAAACTATGATTTTAGAACTTTTAGAAGTATTGCCAAGTAATTTTTCTATGCTGATAATGAAATAGTAACACTTTTATTCTACACCTTCCAACAATTTTTGTGAAATGTGTTTTTAAAGAATAGTAATAAATATTAACTGTTGACTTCTAATATATATATATATATATTTCCCGTCTTCTCTGAGTAGGTACTGAATGAGATTAAGCAGAAAGAGCTGATGAACAAGGAAACAGAGGACAAGATTCAGGTGAAGAAGAAAACACTTGACTTCCTGCCAGATAGCGATAACAGCTTGCAGAAGCTACAGGTAAAAGAACTGTGTGAGAAATGAAAAGTTGCTTTGTCAGTAGCTAGAAAAGTCTAAAATACAGAAACTGTTGTCCTCCTTAGGCTCAGGTAGAGGCCAGTGCTGCCCGGTTGGTGAACCTGGCTTCTCAGTGGGAAAAGCACCGAGCTCCACTAATTGAAGAGCATCGAAGGCTGAAAGAAAAGTGCAGCAACCAGGAAGTAAGTGATGACTCACAAGACTTAGTCGTTCAATTTTTGTTACAATGGGGTAAAAAAAACCTTTTTGTGCTGGTTTCTCAGCTGGAGTCGTCCAGGAAGCTGTCTGAAATTAAGTCCATGCAGGAGAAAATCCGAGTGGCTACAGAAGAGGCCAGGAAAAAAGAGGACATTCACAAACAGCTGGTAGTAAACCACACTTACTAATTTAAATGGAAATGTTACTCATGTAGGCATTTAGTTGGTAGTTTTAATGGCTGTTGCTATGTCTACAGGTGTGACTATTTTTAACGTGTCTTTTCCTACTCCAGGTAACACAGTTGGAAAATCTCCCCAAAGATGTGTCCAGGTCAGCGTACACTCAGAGGATCCTGGAGATCGTCAGCAACATCAAGAAACAGAAGGAAGAGATTAATAAGGTAAGGGTAGAAGAAGTTGGGTTGATGTGACCAGACTGAAGAGTCAGAAGTTTGGTCAAGAAAAAAAAAATTGTTGCTATCGTCTGTGTGAGAACCTTTTCAAACAACGTGTTGTGTATCTTCTGTATCAAAATCCTCTTTGGCAGATTTTGTCAGATACCAGAGAGCTACAGAAGGAAATCAACAGTCTGACAGGAAAGCTGGACAGAACCTTCGCTGTGACTGATGAGCTGGTCTTTAAGGTTGTTTACTTGTTTATTCAAATAGTATGTCTTCCAGAAATTCTGACCCTCAAAATCTAAAACAGGCGGAATACAGTCATGTAAACTGATGACTCTTTACAGTGTACTTCTAACTATAGACTGTATATCAGTGGTTTCCAACCCTTTTCTGCTTTTGACCCCATTTTGACATCACAAATTTTTGGCAACACCAGATACATTTGTGCAGTCGTCAGTTGAGATGTGCCAGCTCAGATATTTTTATATGTTGCAATTTATTTTACCTCAATTTATCTTCAGGAAAGAAAAAGAATACAATTGTTTAAAATTGTGTGGTGTTTTTAAAAAGAATAACATTTAGCTGAAAAAATAATTTTATTGGTAATCTTTAATCAATTACTAGACATTTCAGGTGTCTCCAGTTTGAATTCCATTTGTTTTTTTCGTATGAATGAAAAAAACATTCCATTATTATATAGTATTACTTTGTAAATGAATTAATATTTGCTTACATTGATCTTTTTTCCTGACCTCCTATTCTTGTACCCTTAAGGATGCCAAAAAAGATGAATCTGTCCGCAAGTCCTACAAATACCTGGCTGCCCTACATGACGTATGTCGTCCTTTTCACCGTATTCCTCTCATTTGTTATTTCAGGTTTTTCGAATCTTACGAATGTTAATAAAATGTTCTATTTTAAATGATTGTTTTTATACAGAACTGTAACCAGTTGATCCAAACCATTGAGGAGACGGGTACAATTTTGAGAGAAATCAGAGATCTAGAAGAACAGGTAGGACGTATTCAAGTATTTTTTCCATTTATTGCCTTTGTTAGGAGATTCATTTACACAGTTTTTTTTAACCATTTATTTCAGATTGAGACAGAAAATAGCAACAAAACTGTAGCAAACCTGGAGCGCATACTTGAGGACTACAAGGCCATTCGACAGGAGAACTCTGTACTTGCTGCCAAAATTAAAGAAGGTTGACGTCAGCTTGATCAGCTCTAACCTCTGAGGCTAACGCTGGGTGCACATGTGAAGGAGAATGAACATTTCTCCAGGTTCTACGTGAAGCGGACTGAATTTAGTGCCATGAACATCTTTGCATTTTTATCTACAGCCTATAAGAAATACAGGAGAAATACAGGACTTTTGCTCATTTTAAAGTGATTTGGTTGTTTTGTACCAATCATTGGACAGCAGAGGGCGGTGCGACATCTCTTCAGTGTGTGTTCCCGTAGGCCTTGTTTTCAAAATTTGCTGAAGTGTCATTTTTAATTTCCTAACAATAACTATTCCTTCAGATCAGCATCGGTAGATTAGTAGTGTCATGATCATATTTGAACTGATTTATGTTATAACCTGTATATGAATGTAGCTCATGAATAACGTTCAGCCTACCGGCCAAGTATTGCTGTAAACATGGCACCAGCTTAATTAAAGTTGCCTTACACACTTGATAGATGGCTCTGTTGTATGTCATACCATCATTTACCACCGGGGAAAGCAATTCATTGGGTCTCAGGTGAAATAATTAAAACCCCATTAATAGTCAAACAACAAACTCTTGCAACATTTAATTTTACTACATGTTGCAAAAGGTTTTTCTTTCTGTCATTTCAGGTGTCCAGCAAAGTTGATGTGACTAATAAAGACAAAATCCAGGTAAACTTTGAATTTATTTTCAAATTTAAATGTTCATGTCTGCATTGTCAAGGTTGATGCGTTTGCAACTTTTATGAATTTGCTTTAGAAACAGACGGTTTTGATGACTCCTGTAGCATGAATTAAAAAAGAATCACATTATGTTTTTGCAAAGATTTACATCAGTCAAATTTCCATCAAGTTGAAAGCTAGTTTTGCAGTATTTTTCAAAAAGAAATGTTTAGTTTAAATTGATCAACAATTAATGTCTACTTAAATTCTGTGAGTTATACTAACCCATCACATCTGAGGTATTTGGCCAGTTTAATAATAACATTGCACTTTAAGACACACATTTACACTGATGTAAAAATATGTTTTTAAGGGATTTACACCGAGTCACTAATAAGGTTTGGCAAAAATGGGTAATGGGGAAAAATATATTCAGAAAAAAATGTGTGGGCATAATGACATAATCCTGTATTTCTTAATGCATACACTTTAAATACTTTATAATTTTTTTTGGTCTGCTGACATTTAATGCCTCTGTGCCTGTTTGCTCCTCCTTAGCAAATATCCAATTATTGGATTTTGTTTTGTTGCTTTTTAGCTCCTTGAGCAAATATTATAAGTAGTTCTAGTGCTAAAACGCTGAATGCTCAGCTGGAGTAATGCCATTACTTCCACAGGGTGCGGACACACTTAGGCTTTTCCTTGAAGATAATAATGGGCAAAGCTAGGTCCAGTACGAAGCTTTGCAGCGACGGTTGTAAAAATTGACCCTTGTAGGATTCAGCCTGTTATGGTTAACCCTTGATGGTGTGAACGGTTTATTAACCTGGGTTGGTTACATCTCAACACCACTGAAGTCAACTGATCATTGATTAATAAAAAAAGATCCCAGAACCTCTTGCCGTTGGTTTTAGTCCTGCTCTGTTGAGTACGGGTGAGGAAGGGCAGCAGCTTCTTGAGTTTACTTAAGTGCCGCAGGGTTTGAACTAATGTCCACCAAGATTTCGCTTTTCTCCACTTGTCCAGTCGATTCCGATGAAGGTCAGACTCATGGTCATGAAGATGAAACCTAATGCTGTGAAACATGCCGCCTAAAAAACAAAGATGTGTTTTAGTTCCTACAGTTCTCCTGGATGTGACTGATGTCAGAGTAGTCAGTCAGGAGCTCACCTGAATCTTTGGTCTGGACTTCATTGGCTCCTGGTCAGTGGGGATGATGCGAATGTAAAATAGTCCAGGAAGGATGAAGATCAGACTGGGAGCAGTGGTTGCACCTGGGCACAGAGAACACAAACTTATCACATATAAACCATAAAACATCATTTTAACTTGCAAACATAAAAAACTGGAATTTGCTATAATGTAATGATTAAACACCCTATTATGATATACTGCATAATGACAGGACAACCTAGTGTAATGTGTAGTATACTCTGTATGATGATTGGATACGCTTGTATAATGTATAGTACAATATACTGTATAATGACTGGGTATCCTAGTATAGTATATAGTATAATATAGTACATAATGTTTGAATACCTTTGTAATGTATTGTATGATTTAAAGTATAATGATTCTATACCCTAGTATAATTTATAGTATAATATACTGAATTCATACAGTATAATAATCATAGTAGTTCAGTTATGATTTTCTTTCTCTGAATTCTCTTTTTCTGTCACCGTTAGTGTTTTCTTCTATGGCCAAGGTCCAGAGTTTTTTTGTTTTTTGTTTTCCTCACCAATGATGCCAAAGATGTCTCGAATATTTGGAACGAAGATGACCAGCAGGTTGACAGCGAACAGCAGACACACTGCTATGGCAGTGTGACGAATCCAGTGGAAGGGTTTCTCTGGAAACAGCAGCTGCAGAAGGGCACGACGGATCTGACACGGACATACAGTAAAGGTCAGTCATCAGACTGGTTGGTCAAAACGAGACACTTGGTGGATGTATGTCATTTAGTACAGAGATGCTAATGTAGCTAGATGTGTGTGTCGGTGTTGGAGTGTGCTCACAGGAAACAGAACCACGGGTACAGTCAGAGTGACAGCCACTAGAACAGCCAGTCTCACACACAGGATGAGTGTGTCCAGAAGGTCCACTTTACTGTAGGTGTGCAGCAGCTCTGCTTCAGTGTTGTCTGTAAATTTAACCACATACAGAGTTATATTACGCTGCTGCGTTCTAATAAATCTCTGCAGCAAGGGCAATGTGTCAGAGGTCGCTCTCACCGTAGAAGGTCAGGTATCCAAATATGGCAGTGAAGAAGTACATGGTGAACATCCCCAGAATGGAAACATTGCCAATGTTCTGCATTCTTCTCTTGGTTGGGCTTTAAAGAGACAAAAAGGTGACTGTGATTTGATGTTGAAGATAACAGACAATAGTGCTCATGAGGGACTGGGCTATTGATGATTAACAACAGGAGGCTGTGCAGAATGAAATAGATTAGAAAAGTAGTGTAATGCTCAGATTTGTTTCAGGACAAACATGTAAAAACTTTTTTTTTTCGCCAGTTTATCTCGCTCAAAGTGATACATTATTTGCTTTGATTATTTATGTGTTAACGCAATAGTCCTGTTAACTTGTCCAGCCCCAATTAAAAGTAATTAGTAATACAAACTGAAGTCCCTTATTCATCCCACAATGGGTTAATTTTGTGCCTTAGCAACTTCCATAAGCTTCCACGGGAGGCGCCATTAATTGATTATTGATATTATTAATTATTGTAAAACTGTTAATTTATGTTAATCGTATATATTCTGTACCACCATTATTCCTCCATGTATTCAACATTACAATCCAGTTTGAACCTTACTTGCTCAGTTCAGTATAAATGGGAAGCACTTCAGGATGACACACAAAAGCAAATGCCAGGATGGGGATGGTATAGGCTGTCTGAAAAAAAATTCAAAGAAAATCCAGGGACATATATAAGTTGAAGCTTCACAGAGGTCATTTGTATGTTTTTGTCCTAAATCATCTCTGACCTCCTGGTTGATAGTGACATATTTGGGAGTGCATGTTTCGTCTGCAGTGGTTGAAGTCTCAGAGAAGTTACCAAACACTTCCAGAGGACAGGCGATGTTGAATTTTTTGTAGATGACCTGTAGTTTTAGAGACAGAAGTGTGTGAGGAGGTCTAAAAGTGGTTTACCTTGATGGACAAATGATGAAACACTGCTCCTTAGTTTTCCTAGAATGAGAATCTTAGATATTCAGGGACTCACCGCTATGAGAAAGAAGAGCATGCAGGTCAGAGAGAATCCACTGGTGTAGCCAAGGTAACCTATGAAAAGGACAGAACTGACAGTTACAATCCACGTTCTCCTTGTTACACCACCTCTTAGCATCTTAGTTGTTGGGTCACATGACTTACCCAGGTGTTTCATCAAGGCGAGCGGTAGGATGATGCAGACAGTGACTATGATGATGAGGTAATTTCCATTCATGTACCAGTTGCTGAGTGCAGAGCAGGAAAACACATTGGCAATAAGTTGTGAAGTCGAGTGAAGAGGAAACTGGGACACTACAGGACAGTTACGCAAAAAGTAATACTCACTCGAGGCTGGATGCCTCATCCAGAAAAGCTTGAATAACCAGTGGTAGCTCATATTTTACAATGAATAGGTAACTGGACATGGCTGCAGGAGGGAAAAGACAGAGGTGTGTTGAGCAAAAGAGGCAGGTTTGGTGATGCTGATTGGTATTTTATTATTATTTTATTTTGTTTGAAGACAATTGCAGTTTTGTAGGAATTGCAGTTGTTAATGAAGTGTACATTTGGGGTGCTGAACCACTGCCATATAGATTAATGTTTCACTAATGTCTTACCTCCAATATTATGTAAAGTTATAATGAGAGCTGCCATGATTTTCCCTGGATGACCAAACGCTCTGACACCGAGCTGCTCATAGGCACGAATACCTAGTCAGACCACAGACACCAACAGACACAGAGAAAACCAATCACAGCTCATATGAACTCACTCTTTCATCTTACACAGGAATGTGAAAAACTCCACACCTGAAGCGCAGTGTTCTTCAGATGAATACTCACCCACAACTCCAGCACTGCATAGTAAAAGATGAATGGAATAACAGGAAAGAAAAGCGATGCACATCAACAGGATCCTGCAGAAAAACCACCAAGTCTGAAGGTAAGAAACAGTTTCATATTTAACAGCTAAAGATGAGAAGACAACCCATGGATGTGAATACAACTCACAGGAAAAGGACGATGCCTGTGTTTGACATGGCATAGGACAGACCCAGGATGCCGCTGCCCATGATGGCGTTGCTTAGGTTGAAAACAGACATGCCAAATGATGTTTTACCTTCAAACTGCACAAAAAAAAGACACAAAACAGGAAAATTAACTTCATAAAATCAATATATATATATATATGATGTCTTATGGTGAATTCTGAATACATTTTTGCTAATATAGTTAATATATGTAAGCAACAAGATTGCTCAGAGACATGGTTAGTAAAGTAGAGCGCTAACAGTTAGCTCTTCAATAATGTTATAAATATTATAAATGTTTGTAACACGTGAACTGTGTTATTGACTCCATCCAAGTGAAAATTCTATCAACAACCTTCCTGTTCTTACGTCTGTAAACTGAGCTCTCTTTGGTTCATCACCCTTTAGTTGCAGGAAGTTTGTCTTCTCCGATGGAATTCTGTGACATAAAATTCAAATTTAAAAACATGGAACAATTTTAATTGCATTAAAATAATAATAATTCTGAGAACAGTAAAAGCCGTGGGAGTCAAACTTACCCTGCCTCCACAGACACGGGGGCATCATGGTGGTGATTACTGTTCGGAAACTTCTGCAGCTCCATCCTTGTGACAGGTTCTGTTGGTCGTAATGGCTTCAGGTAGATTTAAATGGAGAATCTAAAAACAAACAAACATTTTTTTTATTGAGCTAATAAAATATGTGCTAAACGAAGCATCAATTTAATTTATTTTTTTGTTTCGATTACTTATATCAGGCCATCAGGGTGCCTGGGTTTGTTAACTCAATTAAAAGAGGAAACATTCTCTTATTCCTTATGACCAAAGCTTTGTTTTAGCCCATTAAATAGAGAAAGACAGACGTCAAAGAAGATTTCACAATCACGTTAACGTCACTGGTATCAGGGTATACTCCTGTTCCCACTCAGCTGCAAACATGGCGAGGGAGAAGCCAAACAGGACACACAGTCTTATCAGGCAGACCCTGAATGTCACACTGACAGCATTGATTTTTATATTTGGCTTTAGTTTAGTTCAACTTGAAACGTGTAGTATTAAAAAGTGCCAACACACCTAAATCATTTGTCATTGATACATTTATTTTTTGTAACGAGCAACGAGCCAGAATATTTTAAATTATTACTTTGTCAGCAAAACCTTTTCCCACCACGTTGCCTTTGGGAAAGGCAACGTGGCTTTAGTGATAAGAGACTCGACTGCAGACCGGATCGCTCCACCTGTGGATTTTGTTTTACTGTGGGCCTGACAGATAGATAACAGCTGAGAATGGGTTCACTGCCCAGATAAGACTAAAACAAATCCTCAAACATTGACAGTTTGTACAGTTTTTGTCACGTGGTAACTATTTGTAAATAATCCCTGTAATCGAATATTTTTTCTCTACTGTAGTGATTAGTGAGTAGAAAAATATGTAAATTTATGAAATACATTTAGCATACGTTCATCACATGGGTCATACGAAGCACTGGCAATGTGTCATGTCAAAGTTTTTGCTCTGAAAAATTATAAAAGTTTCAAACAAACACTTTTATTCAATCATATTTGAAAGTTTCACATCTAAATTTGGAAAGTCTTCAGTGATGAAGGAAGGAGGAAGGTGTGATTACTGGAAATGCTGCAATAAACATAATAATTGACATGGTAAAAGTCCATTGATTGATTTAGACTAAGGAACCAAAGCCTTTAAGAGCTGCTAGAGTGGAACACATTGATCCTGTGAGTGACACCTGCTAGTGGGAAAAATAAATGAAAGTGCAAGTAAGAGTTTTGTTGTAAGAAGCTATGGTGTCAGTGTGTTCAAATCTGAAGGGTCAAAAGTCAAAAGTGGTCCAAGGAAGGAAAAGCAGGGAACCTGCAACACGGCCATTGCTGCAAAAAATCAAATTAAAATAAAAAAAATAACAGTAATGTGCAAAAATGCCCTGCTACCTTTGGGTAAAGAGAAGAGAAATACGATTTTTAAAAATAAGGCTACAAGGCTAATTCTTTGGCTCACCTTTCATTATCAGACTTTTTTGTGATGCAGGTACACCCATCCTGTGCACCAATCAGAATCAAGGCCCTGTGTATTTCTGTTTGTGCAAACATGAATTCTTATTGCTCGATTACTGATAAGGGCTGGAGTACTTGGGTGCTTTCAGTGGCCAAAAGAGTCATTTACCAGGAACAAACATGTTTTCATCAAGCACACAATCTAAAAGTGCTAATACTGAAACATTAGTTGGTTAAAGATGCTTATATGTAGGCTCAGTTCAATATTTAAAGAGGGTATTTGAAGTACTTAGTGGTAAAATTGTCTAAAAATAATGCAGAAAAATGCTGCAGTCAGTACAGGCTTGGTCAACCACACCATAATTATTTAAAGCAAAAATAAGCAAATCTGCCGTCCATGTTTCACAAATACATCTTCTGAAAACAAACAACACAGTGAACCTGCGTTAACCCTGTGTCTGGTTGGCTTTTCCTACTCCTACTCCCCAATCCTGGCCAGAACACTATTCCCATTATTTCTTAGAGAAACAACCGGGAGGATTTTTGTTGTAAAAAAAAGACTTGAAAAAGAAGTTAAGTTTCTTCTTTTCCTCCGGTCAGTCTTAACAAATAGTAAAAACACGTGGCAACACATTATTCTCAACGCTGCCAAAATAGAAGAAGACAGACTTACCTAGAGACTCTGACCCAGGTGGCTCCAGTGGCAGACTCCTGCAGTGGTAGAACCTAACTGGGATGGAATCCTGGTTTGAGGAGGTAAAGTTTCAGCTTGGAAGCCTTTGTTAGTTGGGCTTGAGTTTTCTGTGGAGGCCAGAAGAACAGCCTGTCTTGGGGAGAAGTGGTGGTGGAGAAGAGGAAAGAGGAAAGCAAATGTTGGAGCAAGTAGAGAGAAGGGAGGGCTGCTATGAGCGACAGTTTCAGGTTTCTGGTGATGTCACATGTTGGGGGTCCTCCTTTTGGATACAGTAGAAAAAAAGAAAAAAAAGTAAGAGTGAAAGAAAAGCTTCTCATACATATGTGTATGTTTTTCAGCTAGATTCAGCTAGATAGATTGGTCCATTGGGACTTTTCTGGGTTTCTATATCACCTACTATACACACAGGGTCTGTACTAACCCCCACCCCCCACCCCCCACCGCTCTTTTTCCAACTCTGACTCGTGGAGAGACATATGGTAAAAAGTCCGTGTTACATAAGAGTCTGCCGCTGCTGTATGTTGGAAGAAAACAGGAAGAGTCTATAGCTAACTCCTACTGCTTGGAGGTCCCTGTTAGATTAGACGCCACACAATGGTAGAAATAGATAACACCGTCCCTCTGAAAAAAACGTTAAACTCTGATCTTTAAGTCTTTGAAATTTACAAACATTTAGGGGAAAAATACATTCCCAGTGATATTTTATGGTCAATTGCTTCCATCTGGAAGTGCGATCTCATTGCCTTTATTGTATGTGTGTGTGTGTGTGTGTGTGTGTGTGTGCAAGCCAGTGAGAATGTATGTATGTGTATGTATGTATGTACATAGAGTGCAATACTTTTGGAAAGATGTCATTGAAACATTTCCATGTTTCTCAAACTCCCCCCCCCCCCCCACCGCTCTTTTTCCAACTCTGACTCGTGGAGAGACATATGGTAAAAAGTCCGTGTTACATAAGAGTCTGCCGCTGCTGTATGTTGGAAGAAAACAGGAAGAGTCTATAGCTAACTCCTACTGCTTGGAGGTCCCTGTTAGATTAGACGCCACACAATGGTAGAAATAGATAACACCGTCCCTCTGAAAAAAACGTTAAACTCTGATCTTTAAGTCTTTGAAATTTACAAACATTTAGGGGAAAAATACATTCCCAGTGATATTTTATGGTCAATTGCTTCCATCTGGAAGTGCGATCTCATTGCCTTTATTGTATGTGTGTGTGTGTGTGTGTGTGCAAGCCAGTGAGAATGTATGTATGTGTTTGAGCTAATGATGCAATCTTTTTTCCATATGTCTCATTGTTGTCTGGGTGTCGGCAAAGAGGTTCCATCTGTGTTCATATTTAACACCACCAATGTTGTGGACTTTGACTTCAAACCAGTATGTACATAGAGTGCAATACTTTTGGAAAGATGTCATTGAAACATTTCCATGTTTCTCAAACTGTCAGGGACAGGACTCTGGGAAACAACGATACAGTAGAACAATGAAATGCTGCCCTTGGCAGGGGTGCAGTTTTCATTCACTGTTTTTGTGAACTGCTCGTAAATTCCATGGCTAGTAAAAAACAGGATGTATTTACAATTGGACTAGAAAAGAAAACAAATACTACTAGAAATACACACAAAACGAAAAGGCTAGGAAATAACAAACTAGCTTAATAGCGGCTAAAATGTAACACAAATTTAATTTAATTACATGCATGACTCATGACTGAAATTTAACAAAATTAACCAAAAGAGCTTGAGTTACTGAAAAAAAACCCCAAACAAACAAACCCAGGTCTAAACCAGTACACACAGAAACCTTAACAGTCTTGGCTTGAATATACTCTTGCACCAGGAGATAGCATTAGCCATGTTAATCACCCCGGAAAAAATAAAGAAATATCTATCAGCAGCACCGACCTAGTCCCAGCAGACTGAAGAACCAGTGATTGTTGTTTAAGATTTTCATAACAAGGATTTATGAAAAATCTTTAATCAGAACATTTATCATGTTTGTGTTCACAAGCAGCTGGAACTTAATGTTGCATGTCCCACTCACAGTGAGACTACGGTCACTGGCTGCAGGAGGAAGTATAAATAGTTGCTTTACTCTGAGGATTAGAGAAAGAGCAGCAAGAGATCACCTGGAGCAATGAAACAGTCACACACACACACACACAGAGAGAGAGAGAGAGAGAGAGAGGGAGAGGGAGACATTGTTTAAATGAAAGTTGTCACAACGTCTGCTGAATTCTCAGTTGAGTTAGTTTAGAAAGAATTCACAGTTAGTATCCGCTCTTAATGGTATTTTTATGAAAGACATAATACTGTCAATATTCGGCTTGGGTAAAAATGTCGTTTCCTGTTTGTCTTTGTCTTGTGTTTGCTTGGTTATCTCCAGCTCTGTGCTTGCAAAGAGATTTATTTGCTGATTATCTAGGATATCTTTCTTTATTCCTTTGTTATCTGAATGGGCAATCTTGAATTTGTGCTATTCTGTTATTCAATCATATGTTTTTTATTTTATTTTATTTTGTTTTGTTGGTGGTTGGTAGCAGGATGATTCTTTTTATGCTTATGAAACAGATATGTTACAGGATGAAGGAAAATAGGCTTAGTTAAAAAACTAAAGTCAATTACAAATGAATCGAGCTGACAGTGTACTCCTTATTGTGCCTGCCCCGTCCTGAGCCATGACAGTCCTTCACATATCCACTTAGCTCTTCTGTCACTAAGCTGCTTATACAGCAGGTGAATGGAGACACTGGCAGAGATTTGTTTACAGAGGCAACGGAAGCATGTAGTTTTGTATAAAGTTGACTTTAGTGGCTTCATTATTCAGTAAAAATCTGGATTTTACTCTTTTCTCCTAACTGTGAAGAAGAGAAGTCTGTGAGTGCGGTCCGGATCCAATCATCTGCCATGGAGTGCAGTGACCAGGTAAGGGCTGAGAAACACAACACCATATATGGTAAACATAGACTGTGTGTAATGACGTTCTCAGTTCCAATCCAAAATACAAATATATGTTCAGTTATGTAGGTGGTAATTCAAATATAAGCATTAATGATCCTGCAGAGGGCGATCTAAGCAATTGTAACATTAATTCCCTGTTTTCAGAGAAGCTACTTTGTGGTTTTGCTGTAATTAATTTGGAGGGTGCGTAAGTTACATGATTTTTTTTTTTTTTATGTAAAAGCTTAGCACAGTTTAAATAATTTAGATGGTTCCAGCTGGTTCCAGAGATGGATAGATAGAGGCCGAGAGTCGAGCTGGTAATCCCTCAGCCTGACTGTTTAACTGCCAGGCCACCAACATTGACATTTTGAGGTTAAAATAACAGCAGATGATGTGAACACAAAGATTTACAAGATAGCTGTAGGTGCTGCACCCATTAACCTGTGACACATGACTCCCTCACTGCTAATTAGCAGCTCAGCTAATCCACTAAGCCTGTTTGTTATTGATCGTTTTGTCTCTACGTTGACAGATGGTTCTTAGTTTGAATTCTAGGTTGAGGTGTGTTTTGAGTATCTTTGCAACGATAAATTGTCCTGTGATTTTCTGTCATTTAAACAGATAACACCTCACCTGATGCTGGCTGTAGGGACAGCTGTGATTGGCTCCCTGCAGTTTGGCTACAACACAGGTGTCATCAACGCTCCTCAGAGTGTGAGTCCACAGTCATGTGAAACAGAAGTTTTTCTATTTGTGGGGAAAATGAAGTCTAACCGGAAAAAAATGTGTGTTTTTTTAGACGATTGAGAGCTTCTACAACGAGACATGGATGAACAGGTTCTCAGAGCCAATCTCACAGAGCACACTAACAGCTCTGTGGTCACTGTCTGTGGCCATCTTCTCAGTGGGAGGCATGTTCGGCTCCTTCTCTGTTGGCCTCTTTGTTACCCGCTTTGGCAGGTCTGACAGACGCTTCACTTCCTGTTTTCATTATTATAATCATTGTTCTTCATAAGTTGTGAACTGAAAAGTAACAGTCGTTATGTCATCCCTGAAGGAAAAACTCCATGCTCATGGCCAACGTGCTGGTCGTTGTCGCTGCTGCATTTATGGGCTTCTCCAAGTTGGCTTTGTCCTTTGAGATGCTCATCATCGGCCGTTTCGTAATCGGTCTCTACTCTGGTCTGTCCACTGGTTTCGTGCCCATGTATGTGGAAGAGATTTCACCCACGTCTCTCAGAGGAGCCATGGGCACGCTGCACCAGCTTGGCGTCGTGATCGGCATTCTCCTGGCACAGGTGTGTCCAAAATAAGTTTACTTTGTTTACATAGTGGTGTTTTAGAAATATTCAAATCTCTTTTTCTCTTTTCTGAGACAGTGAATCATGGATTGTGTGGAATAGAATTGAAAACAGAAGTAAAGTTCTGTATTCTCATGATATAGTAGCAGAACAATAACATAATGTCAAATAAACAAACTCAAACTAAGAACAATCTCTCACAATTTAACTGGTAGCATGTCATGAAAATGGCCAAATATACATAATATTTAACATATATAATATACTTGATTTTTTTATATTTATATATATGTACAGTATGTATGTATCTGTCTATCTATATATATATATGTTATATATATATGTACATATTATTTTCTGTTTGTTTTCATCCACAAAGTTGCTGATTTACAGACTGTGGCTGTACCTCACTTTGCCAAACCTTATATTTAGTTACGTACTACTTTTAGCCACAGTTTTCGGATTTGCATAGGTAAACACTGGCTCCAGGCTAACATTTGGACAATCTTACAGCCTGGTCTGTTGGATGTAAATCACAGTGTGAAATAGCTGGGAGCCAGACCACAAGGAGCTTTAAAAGATTTCTAGCATCCTAAAACCACTGCTAAATTTAACTGGCAGTCAGACATACTCTAGGTAGACTGGTATGTCATAGTTACAATAAGAGCTGCAGCAGCAGAAGTCTGTCCCGACTGAAGCTGAGACACAGCACTGCCACCAGTTTAACAGGGAACCATGGTCAACATCCAGTCACAGGGTCAAAGAGGTCAAAGAGTCAGATACACAGAAAACAATTTTGTAAATGTGATATTTACATATAGGGCATAGTGGCCGCAAAGGTCATGACCTGACTGAAGAAATGGTCCTCACATGGGGCAGACTTGTTACTGGTATTGTCTAATAACATGTATGATGTGTAATGAAATGTCCAGTACTTGCTTTTGTCTCATCATATTAGCTGTGTTCATATCTTTGTGTACTGTAGATCTTTGGAATTGAATCCATCATGGGTAACGCCTCTCTGTGGCCTCTGCTGTTGGCCTTCACCCTGCTGCCTGCAGCCCTACAGTGTGCCCTGCTGCCCATCTGTCCTGAGAGCCCCCGATACCTACTGATCGAATGCAATGAAGAGAGCAAAGCCCGCAGCAGTAAGATACACACACACACACACACACACACAGCCTTGATTTGTAGCTAACACATTTGGACTCAGAAAGTAATTACTTTATACTGTTGGAAAAGTCAGCAAATACAAAGACAAAAATGTTAAAGAAGCTAAAAGCAATCCATCAAAGACTGGAAGTTAGCAAAATAATGGTAAATATTGATAAAGGGCATAAATAATGACAGGTTTCCCTGTTTATATCTAAAAGTTAGCCCAAAAATAGATAAAAGGTAGCACTAAACTAAACACAGAGATAACACTTACTGCCGTGAAGAAGAATCCTGCTGTCAGGGAACTGCATTTTGGCAGAATGTTTTTGTAAACATTCTGGTTCACGCTCCAGAATTGGTTTTTAGTTTTAATGAAGCTGCGGGGAAGTGACGATGTGGGTGAGGATCTTCAAGAGATGAGAGAGGAGAGCCAGCAGATGAGGAGGGAGAAGAAGGTGACCATCCCAGAGCTGTTCCGCTCCCCTGCCTACAGACAGCCCCTCCTTGTGGCGGTCATGCTGCAGCTTTCTCAACAACTTTCTGGAATCAACGCTGTAAGTTTTCTTTACCCGTAGAGAAGTCATGGACAAATATTGAAGGTATCTTGGTGCTGACAGACGAGTGTACATCATATTCTATGCTATACTATTTAGACACCCGATCATAACCCTGTTGTTCAAGGTCACTGAGTCAGAGATAAAGTTAAAAAAAAGATCGTGTAATGCTCAGTTTTAGCCACTCAAAATATTACTGCAATTGCTAAGCAACATGAGGCCACACTGTGCATGTGGTAATTAAAAGAGAACAGTGATGAAAGTAGATCAGCAGAAATGACATAGAAGCTTGTGGTATGGGTAAATATGTACAGTTTTGTATAAGGTTTCTGCTGAAGGAACTGAAATAAATGATGTATTGTGTACAAGTTATTAGTCTAATCCGATCAAGTAAGAATAAAAGATTTAAAAATGTTGTGCATTTCTTGACGATGCAGGGTCAAGAGGTCGAAGAAGTGACACAAACTACAGGACAACTGATGACATTTCATTATTTTCAGGTTTTCTACTACTCCACTGGAATCTTTCAGAAGGCAGGAGTATCTCAGCCTGTTTATGCAACCATCGGTACCGGAGTGGTCAACACTGCCTTCACCGTTGTCTCTGTGAGTCACAATGCACACATAGAAAAAAAAAAAAAACATAATAATAATTCAAATAAAACGTATTGATCTATATTTGGTGTTGCTGCACGATTCCTTCTCATTTCTGACAGTTGTTTGTGGTGGAGCGAGTCGGCAGGAGACCACTTCACCTCACTGGTTTGATGGGAATGTCAGTGTCAGCAGTTTGTCTGACTGTTGCCATGGCGTTGTTGGTAGGTTCTTTGATGGTTTCTCATTTTTTTGAATTTTTTTTTTATTTTAAATCGTTACATTTTGTTCCTTGTCCATAGAACTGGACAGGGAACATTTTTGGAAATTCCCAGGTCATGATGTGATTATCTTTGACTAGTTTAGTTATTTTCACTAATGTTAATGCTGTAAGCTTATTTTAGCTTATTGTGAGCATTATAGGCTAATATTTAGATTTTTATTTTTTTAAATGCTGGCTGATTGAAAGTTATTTTTTGCTATCCTTCAATAAAAATGGTATTACTTTTAATCCTAATTAACACTAACTCGCTTAGTGTTTGCTTTTATGACTATCATTTTGTTATGTATAGACTACTTTTAATTAGAATTTCAAACCTTCATTAGACATTTTTTTCAAGCTAATTTTCTGAAATGATTGTACTGCATTCTTCAGGACCAGCTCCCATGGATGTCCTACCTCAGCATCGCTGCCATCTTCAGCTTTGTGGCATTTTTCGAAATTGGCCCTGGTCCCATCCCCTGGTTTATCATAGCTGAACTGTTCAGTCAGGGGCCCAGACCTGCTGCCATTGCTGTGGCTGGTTTCTCCAACTGGTCTTCAAACTTCTTAGTGGGGATGTGCTTCCCATATATTGAGGTAAATCGGAAATTATATTATTAAAAAAAAGTTTTTTTCCTGCACAATAAATTGAATGTGATTTTATTGTTTTCAATGCAGCAACTCTGCGGTCCCTACGTCTTCATCATCTTCACCGTCCTGTTGCTCGGTTTCTTCGTCTTCACCTACTTCAAGGTGCCGGAGACCAAGGGTCGCACCTTCGATGAGATTGCAGCAGGTTTCCGACAGTCAGCAGGTCACGGTGCAGACAAGTACTCGGCTGCCGAAGAGTTCAACACCCTGAGGGGAGACGATCCTGACCTTTGAATGCTGCTCTAGGTGTTCACATTCAAACCTTTTACAAGTGAGGTGAACACACATGCGACTCACTCAACCCAGCTGACAATGTGGCCCCACATACAATAACCATTTACCTTCTGACCCCATATGTGCAGTTCACTTGGAGCTCCCCTGGTACAGTACATGTGGTGCACATGCTTCATGCAGCTGTGCACTTGGTTTAATTAATAATATACAAAATTCTATTCATAAAAATTCTCAATTTTTGATTCAATTACTGGTCTGAATTAGTGGAGTGGAAGCTAATCATGACTAAAGGAGGGCTTGTGAACAAACATGAACCTGAAGGGTTTTTTAATTAAGTAACTTTTTTTTCTTTACCTAATACGTATATGGCATTTTGGTCTTTTTCACTTGTGATGTTAGACAAATCAATCATAAGCAATATTTTAAAAATAACATAGAATAGCTAAAAGGAAAGCTAAAATACTAAAATTATGTGTAGTACATGAATTGTAAATGTCTTGCATTTTTAAAATGTGTCCAACCACAGATTCTGTGCTCTTTTAGTAAGTGTTTTTTTTTCTTTTCTTTTTTAGTGTTTGGTTGCGGTTTTTTGGAACTTTTTAAGTAAGTAAAATTCCTCTAAAGTTTTTATGTCCTAGATCAAGGGTCTCAAAACATTTTTTCTCTGAGAGCTCCTTTTACAAAATAAAATTCTTTGTAACAATTATTTTCATAGATCAATGTGAACAAACAAATTCATTAAGCTTTGCATGAACATTTACCTTATGTTACTGTCCACATATCACATTAGGCTCACATCAATAATATTATTAATAATAATGACAAGGGTGGTGGCGAGAGTGCAGCGGTAGGATTGCCTTAGTGCAGTGGTTCTCATTTATTTTGACCATCCCCTGCCCCACCAAATGTTCTTATTTGATGAGAACCATGTGGAGAAACAAAAAAGTTCTTCATAATTCTTCACCACTTGAACAACATGTCGTTCGATTTTAAGATTTTACTGAAAAAAAATCTCAAAATGCTGTAATTGATACATGAAGAAAAGGTGAGAGTGATCACACTGATTGAACAGCAGACACAGACAGAGGGGGAAGTGACACTTAATTTTTGTATTTGTAGCTGAAATATTTTCATACGTATATTGTAATATATGATACAATTATTATAAAAATATTGATGCAGCTGGAGGCCAAATCTTTAACAGCGTCTGGCTTTTGAGACAATAGTTGCAATGAAGCGCTTCTAACGCTAGAGGTCAGCATTTCAGCACACATTTTCTAGGTATGCCACAGGTTCTTTCAAACTGGAGTGTTTGTCATCTGTTTCCTAAGAAGTAAAAAAAAATCACATAAAAAGGTCCACATCACTCTCTGATCCTAAACGCTCTATATGAAAATAATCAGAATCTGCCTGGAGAATATCATCTCCTCATCTGTGATAGGAAGGTCTCGTCTGTCTTACCTCTGAAATACTTCCACGTCATTCCACTTCAGTTGTTTTATTGAACACTTTTTTAGTTGTTTGCTCTTGTCTTCTCTAAGTGCAGCTTTGCCTCCATGTTGGCAGCGGTTGTGCTGAGTTTGCGTCATTTGAACACAAGCCCTGCAAATCAAACATGCCGTTTTATCCTCCCAGGAAGCAACACACATCACTTTTATCTTCTTTGGCTTTTTTTCTGTTTGTTGTACAACAGTCTTTGTGCATACAGTGTCTCTGTTTTACTGTGTTTATTTTATTTTTATATTTTCTCCAGCATGCTTTGTGGTCTGTCAAATCAGCTCTTCTAGACCAAGGGATCCTGAACTTTTCCATGAAAAAGTCGCCCAAAACAGCATTAACTTGCAAACCCACAGACAATTCTACAAAATATATAAATAAACATCAACTTTTATTCACTATTTACTATTTGTTTAGCATTATCATATGATTAATAATGTTTACAAGACTGTTTCCACTGAAAAATAAACTTTCCAACAAACTGTTGACAGATAAGAACAGAAAAAAACCAAAAACAAATCAAATGTGTCAACGCGATTCCCAACATAGTTCAAATTCGTGTTGTCCATTTTGCACTAGGTAGCTACACGCTAGCTTGAGAAGCAGAGCTTCATAACAGGTGCGAATCGTTGCCGTTATGCCAAAATTCGCAATTGTCGTACAAGGTGCCTTCAGGTACCATCAGAAACTTGAGTATTTGAAGATTATGCTAGTTTACATGTGGAACGGTTCAGGACAAATGGTTATTTTAAAGAAGAAATGATTCTTTTGATTAGCAATAGTGAATTTATGAGGCCCGCCCTAGCGCCCCATACTTGAAAATCATTGTTGTAGATCACCAGTTGGTGCAGGATGAAAACATTTTCTGACCAGAGACAAAATATTAAGGCAGGAATAAACAAATATTTTCCAACTTTGACGTTTTGCCTCCTCCAGTGGTGATCTATACAGAGGGCCATTGATCTGATCCATCAGCTAAATCATCCTGTCCCTGTGTTGGGTGATGGTATTTTGATGAATGAAGTTTTTCAGTGTGATGATTCATCAAAACATGTTATATTTGAACACATTATTGTGATATAACTATTGCTGCCAAATCCTCAGATTTGCTGTGTTTCCAGTCTGTACATTCCATAAATTGGTCCGTCTTGTTGTTGGACTTCATCCTTATCACACCAGTGCAGCATCATAACATTCCAAATCAATATCAGTCAGTCAATTAAGACTGGTAAAATCAAATCAGGCATTGATTCGTGTTCCGGACAGCTGCTGGGCCTGAAGATAACGACTTGGATGACGTTTTAAGAGGCGATTGATAATTATAAACTCTTGATATTTCTCCCTCTATTCATTAGTGGTTCATTTTTTAACATTTTGCTCCATTTCATGGCAGACTCACTGCATCAGTGGCATGGCTTTCTGTAGCCGTACACGACTTCCCTGTGAATACAAGAGAACGTAACTGCAGTTCTGTTCAAACCCACAGCTGCACGCCACTCTGTCTGGTTCTGTCAGACATTTATTCCAGTAAAAAGAGAGTGTGTTTTTCATCCCCACTCTTTTGCGTGATCAATAAAGCATCTCACTTAGCCCACTCAGTCTGTCATCGTTTCTAACCACAGAGACTTGTGAATGAAAGGGAAAAGAGTGGAGCTGTTGTTTGTGAGAGTTCAACGTATGACAGTGATATTTTATGCAAATGGAAACGTCTCTGAACAAACAGGAAGAGGGAACAGAAGGACAAGGGTGATTTTCACACACTCTAAACAAAGAAACTCAACCTCTGGTAAATGAATAATGTTAAAGGCTGAATATTCAGCCTGTCCTTAACGGTCCATCTGTCATTTTAGATCATTACTGCTGATATTACATCTATTCTGTTAAACCTTTGATATAGAGAAATAACGTTGTATCTGGTTTCAATGTCCAAACTATAAATTCAGGCTTTCCCATGGCAGAATCATAGTCAAAAACAAATGGACACAGCACACAAATGTTTGAAAGTGATTTGAAACAAGTATGCTTAAACTGATTATTACATGACAAAAAAAAGTCATTTCAGAGGCGCAGATTGTTGCCTGATTGATTAAAGCTGTCATTTTACCCAATAATAATAAAATAAGTTAAAAATATGAAATTACAAATGTCTGTTGTGTAAAATGTAAGGTTTAAAACTGTAGAAAAAAGTCATAACAAACTGACCTCATTGACTTTCATTGTGATGTTGATGCAATAGCAAAGCAAAAAGGAATTGCTACTAAATCCATAACAGAAATGTCAATATCTGACTTCTACAGGACATACATTGGTCCTCAGGCGAGATGAGATCGGTTTTGACCGATCAACATTATTTGGCAGCAAAGGGATTGATAAGAGCATTTAAAAACACAGATGACGTCACAGTCGATAGTGGTCAGAAGACAGATAGCACAGTCGTCTTAGTCACATGACTGAGGGCCAGATTGGTGTAAAATAGTTGAATTACTGATCATGATATTTCCTTTTTTTGAGTTTCACATAAAAAAAAAATACTAACCCCAAATGTTCCTCTTTTATCTCTATTGCAGGGCCTAGAATCTTATTTCTTCTGGTCCAGCAGAGTGTCAGTGTCCATCTAACTGGAAAAAAGTTGGCTTTTGCAGCAACAGAGTTCACTCATGCTGTAGATATTTCAAACTTTTCTTAAGCAAAGCTTTAAAAAATCCATGCTGAGGTCTGGGTCTGACCAGAGCGTCTCTTCTCTGCACTTCTGTGGCCAATCACACATTTGTAGCCGGTGAAAGGAACTGCTCTGCTGGAGGATTTCACTGTTTGTCAGACACCTGCTCTGAAACAGAATAAACACTAGTTTGGATAATTAGCTGCCACTCCACACACAAACACACACACAAACACACGGAGAGATACACTCCAGCCCTGTGTCCACTCTATCACCCAATAGCGCAGCCTCTTATGGGTCATTCAGACAGGGGAGAGTAGAAATTGGGTAAATAACTCCACTCTCTGCTGTCTCTCGTGCACTCCATACTTTTTCATTTATTCTCTCTCTCTCAGTCTGATCTCTTTCTTTCTATCTCCTATTATTTCTCCCCCTTCCTCCCCTTTCCCTCCCCATTTCTTGCCGGCCATGAAAGAAAAAAAAAAACAATTTCAATTTCTGCCTGATCAGCTGCAAAATAGAGTGAATCTGGGCACACACGCAGACACACACACACGCCCGTGAAGCATGGAGCCTGGAGAAACGTCTATTTGTCATTACTGGTGTGTGACAGGGCTAAGAAAGAACAGATACAATCACAATCACTGTCCATTTTCCATTAACCAATCCATAAATGGCTCTATTTCAGCACATAATGATGAACTCAGACGATGAACAACGGGCCAGAGTCTCTTTTGTGTTCTCCTCTAAAAATATCTATGATTTTCTTTCTCCTTTTTTCATAATTTCTAATGTCCGACCACATATTTCCCTCACCTCTTTTTTTTTACCACCACTGTTTTTCTTCTTTAGCTCAACAATCTTTCAATTTACTCTATCTGAATGGTAAAAACTTTTCAAAGCTTGTTTTTCTAAAAACCGACGCGCCTGTTAACAGGAAGCACCTGTCAAAACTCAGCTGTTCCCTGCAGATGCCTAGACATGTATCTGTTGGTAATGAGGTGTTAGATATTGTGTCATCAGTCTCCTGTGTGTTGCAACAACACAGTGGGCAACGCAATGCACAGTCCAGAGTCCCCTGACAGAGCAGGATTCAGGGACTGTGTATATAAAAAAGAAATTCATCACAAATTAGAAGCAGAGTCGCTGCTGGTTTCACATTTTGGACAAGATCACACCACCTACTGGTGGATCCTGATCTACGGTGATTTATGGTGTCCAGATGTCCTAATCCCTAACCTGCAGGTGTTTAAACAAGGGAGCACTGAACGTGCTGTCATGCCCTGAAGGGGGCGTTAACTACTCCAGGTCCCCTAAAAATGCATGAACTTCTGGCCGAGGACCCCCTTCCTACACCTGTAGACTGCATTTGTTTAGCCACAAAAATAATTAACGGACATGCATCAGCTAGCTACACACAGGCTTGAGGAGCCAATTAGCTTGACAAAAGGTGCAAAAAGGTCTATACAGATTATGGTGCTATCAGAAACAGCTGACATCAGAAACCTGAGAATCTGTTCATTATGGGAGTTTGTGTTTTACACTTCAGGACAAATGGAAAGCAAAAAACTTCTTTTTTCATCTTTCCTCCAAAGGAGCAGTCCCTGACTGCCCTCCAGAGGGCCTCGGACCCCACTTAGAAAACCACTGAACTATTATAGCCTACTACTACTTGCCGACATTGGTTTAGTCCAATCTTTTTTTTAATTTTGCATTCTTGTCTCTCAATTTGGTTTAGTCCAATCTTTTTTTTAATTTTTGCATTCTTGTCTCTCAATTTGCATGGTGATGTTTATGGTTTTTACAAAACAAAGACCGAGATTTAAAACCGTTCTTCCACCTACTGAGAACATCTAAATCAGGAGCAAAAGAGAAGAAAAAAAGATGGATAGATAGATGGATAGATAAAGCGAGAGAGAGAGAGGGAGAGAGAGAGTATGGGTGTGTGCGCGTGTGTGTGTGTTCCTCCGGGTCCTCTGGTTGGTTGCCGCGCGCTCTCTCTCATCCGCCTCAGCTCTGAACGGACGAGAGGAGCGCACCGTGAGCGCGTAAAGATGGATGAACTTTGAATGTGCCTCCCAACAACTTTCACCTCCCCTCGCGCGCAGACAGCCCTCTGTGGTCCTCCCGCCCTGCTGCTCCCCAGCCTTCTCCTCCTAAAATGGAAAACGCGGCGATGGATTAACAAGTGTGACACTTCCGATGTAAACGACCACCTCGCATATACATTCTTTTTTCATCCCCAGTCGAGATGATGGCATCAATCGGAGAATTCGATCCTCTCAACACCAGAGTTCCTGCAACTAAAATCGAAGTTACTGTGTCATGCAGGTAAGATTTAATCTAATGTGATCCACTCTAATGTGATCTAGTGCAATTCATTCTTATGCTCTCTATCTATCTATCTATCTATCTATCTATCTATCTATCTATCTGTCCATCTGTCCATCCTGGGATACTGTATGTGTAATTGGGGTTGTAATTATATCCATGTGTCCTCACGTTGCTGACATTTGCTCTCTGGTTCAATGTGCAAATGCCGTTAATCCTATAACCTGCCTCCAATAAGGTGATTAAAAATCCTGGAGACTCTCCTCGGATTTCCCTCCAGTCAGCTGTGACTCCAGCAGAGATCATTGTTCACACACACACCAACAGACACGGCTGTAGCTGTAATTGTGCTTCTTTCTGAATGTTTGGTCTTTGTAATTAAGCCTGAACTGGTGCGTGAAGGACTGTCCAAATAAAACACTCTTTATAAAGGTCCCCCCCCCAAAAAAATACTGTAAAAGGGTGTGGGGGTGAAGGGGGGGTTGACCACCCCCTATGGGCTGGGGCTGACTTTAATTGCAGCAGGTGTTGTGTTGGTGTAGTGTCCAGTTGGTCATGAACTAACCTTGTGCAATCTTTGACCCTCAGCCCCTTTATTAACCACAGTAGCCGACAGCTGGGAGGCACAGACCGCTTCATACATGGGACTGTGTGTGTGTGTGTATCTCACGCTCGGTGGGTTTCAAATTGGACATATTCATAGTCATTTACTGTGTTTCAAACAAACTAAGCAGCCAATGAAAATGTCGTTATTTAGCCACCGTGCAGCTCTGTATATTACGAGAGGAAAACCTATCAGAAGCTTGTTGTTTTTAACCTCCCATGATTGGGTTGTCTGTGTTGTATTTAAAGGTGTGAAATAGGTCAAATGAATGGGGGATTCTGCTGGTGGAAGACTCCTGTAAATGACTGTAAATGTTACAGAGCATCATTCATGGTAAATGGATGGGCCTTAAAGGAGCATCTACTGTTGGATATAAGAATGTCTTTTGGACATATGGACATGTGCTGCAACTGCTGCAGGAAATGACAGTCTCTGTGTTTAGTGTTAGTGAGTTAAAATATTTAGCTGTAGAATATAAGCCACACATTAATGTCATGTAAATATTTAAAAAGTTTCTCTGAGCTTGAGTGGAGACCAGTTTTTTTTCCTATCTTTTGTTAAACAGATGGACGACTGGTTATCAATAAAATATGTGAAAAGCAGCATCTGTGCTGCAGCCACGTCACTGCGAAGTAGGATATATGTAAATAATGAAACTGTAGAGACTCGTCTTCTCCACTGATCCTTTAACAGACCGCTAATGTCACAGCTCGTTCTATAAAAAACATCTTTTCCAGGCTGGACTGGCCCGTCTGCAGTCCAGATTTGTGTCCAATCCAAATTTTCTCGTACATCATCAAAAGGACAGTGAGACACAGTGGAGCACCTGTGGCCAGAATAATATTCTAGTTAAAATTCAAGTTAGTTTTTGTTTACCAGTTGAAAGCTGCGCTGTCATTATACAGTAAACACCTTCACTTGACCTTTTCCCTGATAGACCAGGATCCAGGTGCTTTAACAGTGTAGAAAAAGAGTGAAGGTGACAGGCTGCAGTGGGTAAAAGGTCGACGGCTCTGCTCCAGCGGCTGACCAACCAGGCGTCACTCAGGGTTGGTGCCGACTGTCAGCCTGTCTGACTACCTGACTGTCGTGTGGTGACTGTCTTTCTGATCTGCTGCTGAATTATGTATAGGTGTTGCACCCACACAATTCCTCCTGACATCAGCCAGACATGCAGTGACCAGACACCTGGACAGTCCAAATATCTGAGGGAGGATTTCTCCTGCAGGGACCAAATAAAATATGACAACGTTGCGTAACAGCGTAATATATATTTATATATTTATAAAATAATAATAATCTCAGTGTTATTTTTTTGCTACACATCTGAAATTTTCAGTTTTAGTTTAGCAGTGCAGCAGAGATAGAGGTCAGAGGAGAAGGTCAGAGAGGAAGCCGTTACAGAAAGATGCAGGTCCAAGAATTTTAATGACTTCCTGTAACGTTGTTGGACTCATAGATTTAGAAATGATGCTCAAATTCACAGGACGTGATGCAGGAGTTTAGTTTTTATTGTACAATAAAAAAA